TCCTCCTCCTCCTCCTCCTCCTCCTCCTCCTCCTCTGGAGTTCTAAGAACCTTTCGTGGTTTCCACGAGACGTTCTTCGGACATTTCTGGCGGAGTCCGTCCTCTTTTGGCACGTCGGGTTCCTGTTCTGAGAACACTGTTCGGTGATTCGAGCACGTCTGGGTTCTAAGGACATTTCGTGGTAGGACTATAGGGATGCCGGGGGGACGGTCGGTCCCTGCTCGCATCCCCAGACACCGGGCGTCTCGAAGAGATCGAGGCAGGGGTTTTTCAAAGTTCTTACCCTCGCGGGGCCCCTTCCTCGGGCCTCGGGACCGTCAAACAAAAATCGGCTCGGGGTCCAGAAAATCGAGACGGAGGTTTTCCATAGTTTCTGGCCTCGCGGGGCCCTCGCGGGGCCTCGGGACCGTCAAAAAACGACTCGGGTCGAACAAATCGAGACGGAGGATTTTCGTAGTGCTTGGCCTCGCGGGGCCCTCGCCAGGCCTCGGGACCGTCAGAAAACGACTCGGGCTGAAAAGCCGGTCCCAGGGGAGTGGTCGGGAGGTCGGGGGCCCGCGTCGCGAAAAATCGGGACGTCGGATGTCTGGGTCGGGCGTGCCACTCTCTGGGGTGGTTCGGCGTCAGAGGAGCGGGAGGTCAGTGGCAGAGCTACGTCTCGCGGACGTCCGGGTTTGCCTGCTGCTCGCTCCGCCTGGGCTCGAGAGAAGGACGAGGACCGCTATACAGTCATCGGCCTGACCTAAGGAACGAGAAATAAGGAACGAAGCCCCTTTTTTATTCCAGGGAATAACGCATGAGGAACGATAAATAACAAATAACGCATAAGGAATTGTAAATCACGCATGCAAGCCTAAGGAACGACCGAGCCCCTTTTGAAAAGTAAGTGTTCCTTACTCAAGCCGCCCACTGTATGAAGATACCCTGGAGCTCCCGGACCGCGTCCTGAACGGCTCGCATCATGAGATCCGTATTGACTCTGAGAAAGAAGACGGAGTCATGATCATGATCTGAACGAAGGATTGCAAAAAACAGTTTTTGTTGCAATCCTAGGTTTTTTTGCAATCCTTCGTTCCCAGTTCCCCCAAGGTTTCTAGGACTTCCCGTCGTTCCGCACGGGCTCCAGAAGCGAGGGCCGCCGGGTGCTTCGTGGAAATCCTGGGAGGCCTCCTGAGCCAATGCCATCATGCTATCATTCGCGCCCTCCTCCTCGCCCCGAGGACGAAGGCCCCCATGCCCGAGGTTGGTGAGCCAGGGGCGGCTGCGCAGAAGGATGCGCGTTCATAGCCCGCGCCCCGCAGGGCGCGCACCCCTCCCGCGGTGAGGCGGCGGCGGCTCCTGGCGGCGCTGCTGCTGCCGATGTCTTGGCGTCTCGGACGGCTGCGGATTTTTCTGGGTCTTCTGATGAAATGTGTTCACTGGATCGCCAACTCAAAATAGACGCCCAATCCCGAAAATGCGAGGGCCAGAATAGAGCGCAGGCTTTTCGAGATTTTTTTGGGGGAGATTTCGGGGTCGGGTTTTTCTTAGGGGGGCAACGACGAACGCAGACTATACCCCGAAATCCTTGGCCGATTTTCGAGTCCTCGGTGGATCCGCGATTTTGAGATTGGGAATGTGTTTTTTCTTGGCCACTGGAGCGCTCAGAATGCAAGCTCGGAGGAACGGCTTTGTGATGTCTCTGCTGCGCTTCGCCACGTTGCTATGATGCGTTTGAGTGGCGTTGGAAAGCGGAGGACAGATGTTGACACTATGCGTTCGCCGCTGCCTCTCCATTCCGCTCTTCGATCGGTCTGCTGTCACAGCCCCCGCGTGAAGAAGAGTTGCGGGTGCACCATTCTGCTCCGCAGGCGTGTGTGCTTCGGACGCCGCACCTCGTGGACACCCCGCCCGCGCCAGTGCAGCTGCGAGGGCGCGTTGCCCTCACACGCCTGCCGGCGGAAGATTTGACATCCTGGCGCCGACGGCCTACTTCCCTCCGGGGCCGTCGAGTCGTCGATTAGCCAGGGAGTCAGCGCCCGCGTTGACCACGCACCAGCAGTACAGGGCCACCGTCGACGCCATCTGCGATTGAATCGAGGAGACCCTCGCATGGGCGCGAGGGCGGTCTGCTCTCTTCTTCGGCTTCAACCTGAATGACGGGTTCGGCCTCCGTCAGCGAGGCCCGCAGATCTTCGAGCAGGTGGACTCCGCGGCGCTGGGACCATACTGACGCCAGTTGCAGCACTATGCGGCCGAGAAGATGCTGGAGCTGCTCGAACGCTTCGCGGTCAGGGTGGCCACCGGCGACTTCGACGTAGGACCGACCTTCCACGGAGTGCGTAGCGCCTTCTTCATCGACCACATCGCGGTCTTCGCGTGGCAGGCGCCCTCCGTGCAGCGGGTGCTCCCATTCAAGGGTGCCAACCTGCGCTTGAAGTTGGTACCTCGTCCTGGCCTCCAGGACCACGTCCCGCTCCTGATGCAGGTCATCTACACGCTGCAGGCGCCTCCTACTCGACCTCGGACGGTCTGGCATGTTCATCGGCTGGGCCAGGCACTGCAGCAGGGCACCGGAGGGGCTGCCTTCACCAGAGAGCTCGAGGAGACCTTCGCGCAGCTCCCTGATTTGTACTTCCACGCGCTGTGCGACGCGAAGGCGCCTGATGAAGCCTGGGGCCGCTGGATGGGACAGCTGGCAACCGTTGCTCAGAAGCACTTCGCTGGCCGCCCCCCCGTTCCGCAGCGAGCCCAACGACTTCGGGCGGAACGATTTCGCTTGCTGTCGAGACCCTCGCGGGCGACGCGCACGAGGCGTGGCAGAGGCGGCAGTTCGCTGAGGTCTGGCGCCTCAGCCACCAGCTCGCGGCCCAATGCAAGGGGCCACGCCGACGACGCTACAGCGTCGGCGACAGCTTCCTCCCGCGGCGCGCCGAGATCGCGCGGCACTTCGCACGGGCCGGCGCCGATGGGGGCCTCGACGCGATCCCGACCGAGTACGAGACGTACCGCCAGCAGTGCTTGGAGGCGCCCCCCCGTGCTCCGATGCATGCGCATGACCACCTCGACCTCGAGCGCGAGGACTTCGAGAAGCTGGTCGAGGTCCTCCCGAAGTCCTCACGACGTCGAGCTGCGCCACTTCACAGTGACCCAACTGAGTTCTTCGGCTCGCCCTCGCCCTGGCGTCGATGCGATGGCAGATGCAGGCGGCGACGCCCGCGGCGTCCTGGTGACGAAGACGAGGAGGACGACGAGCCTCGCCCTCGCCCTCGCCCTCGCCCTCGCCCTCGCCCTCACTGGCAGCCAGTTGCCTCGCCCTCGTCCTCATCAGGCGCGGGCGCTCGCGCGCGCGCCCGCCCCTGGCAGCCAGTTGCCGGTTCGTCCGAGGCCGGCCTGCCCGGGGCCGCGCGCGCGCGCGGCGCGCGGGCGACCGGGGACCGCGCGGCTCGACGCGCGCCTCCAGGTACGCGGCCATCGTCCTCCCAGAGATCGAGCGGAGCTGCGACCTCGCCACCGTCTTGCTAGCGATCGCCCTGGACTCGGCCTCGACGTTTACGAGATCGACACGCCCGTCACCGAGCGCGCTCCGAAGTCCATCCTCGCCCATATCAGGAGGGTCAAGCGCGCCCCGCTGATCTGGCACCACTCGGTCACCACGGGCCTCGACAAGAACAATGGGAAGGCGAGTTCAACTCTGGGCGCTCCATCCACGGCCTATGCAGGGTCGGCGCTGCCTGGTGCAAAGCTCAAATCCAACGCGCGCCGCGGGGCGTTCCACGCCGCGAGAACACGGACGCCAGCGAGGTCGCAATCGGGAAGGCGCGCTGCTCTGCCAGGGGGGACTTCTCGGACGCCTCCTTCGGCTGGGCATCTCTTCCCTCGCCACGAAGGAAGACATGAGCAACGCCTTCGGCCCCTCCACGCTGTCAGCCCTGCGCCGGACGGTCGAGGCCGCAGCGCGCCCAGAGGGGCAGGATTATTTTCACCAGCGGCACGAGCTCAGCACCTTCCGCGTCATCGGAGACGACGGCGACTGGGGCCTCTACAACCGCTGCGGCGCTTTCATGGGGGACACCCCAGCACCGCTCTTCTTCGAGCGGACCTTCCGCGAGCCCATCGCCGAGTGGCTGCAGCGAGTGCGCGCTGCCGCCTGGGCCACCTGCGACCTGCCCGACCCCCCGACTACCTGCCAGGAGTGGCAGCGCCAACCTCTTCTACCCCCAACTCCTCGCGCAGACATCGACGCCGCGATCTAGCCGAGCGAGATGCCCTGCACCGCGTGGTGCCCACTTCTGGAAGCCGCCGTGCCGTTGGGCACCCGGATCTACGCGGGCGACGCCAATCACGCGGGCGCGGTGGTTTCGGCAACGAACGAGGGCTTCGTCTCGAGGCGCTCGCACTGCGAACTGCGGCGCGCCCTGGAGCCCTACGGCTACACGCGCAGCCCGTCCAAGAGCTCGGTCTCGCCCTGCTTCCTGGGCCGCGGCCCCCAGCGCGAGGCGCGCCAGCTCTTCAGTGGAGCACGGGCCCTCGCCGGCGTCGTGCAGCGCGACGACGTGGCCCTCGGCATCCAGACCTCCATCGCGGGCAGCGCGCAGACGGAGCTTCGGCGGAGGCTGCAAGCTGCCCGTAGGGGATGCTATCGCATGGGGCGCTTCTGGGCACGGATCCGAATCTGGCGCCTGACGCGGGTCGCGTTCGGCTCCGCGGCGCAGGAGGCGGCGCTCTGCGGGCTGAACGTCTTTGCGCTCAGCGCGTCGCAGTGCCAGCAACTGGACAAGGTGCTGTCGAGCCTTGGTCGACACTTGCTGGCTGGCGCGGCGCGCCAGAATATTCTCCTCCTCGATGACGATGGCTGCCCGAAGTTCGATGACAAGGGCAATCCGCTCACGAAGTGCAAGGCCATGACTGACGAGGCTGTCTAGAGGAGGCTCGGCGTAGCCCTAGCATCAACAGAGCTTTGGGTTCGTCGACTACGTCAGTACTGACGCTGGCTTCGCCCCCCCAGCCAACGCCCACAGGAGCTCGCCGTGGTGTTTGGAGAGCTGCAGCTGGAACGGACCCCGACGCCTGGCGCCGACGGCCCCGTCGCTGCCGACACCAACCTGCGCGCGCTGAGGTTCGTCGCCGACGTCGAGGCGTTGCTCGAGATTGCCGAGGCGAGCGAGCTGCGCGAGGACCTGCGGACGCTTGGCGGCTTGCTCAACGTCGTCGCGCTGTTCACCAGCGAGGACCTGCGCGAGAGCTACCTGATGCTGGACCCTTGGTTGCTGCGGGCGCAGGCGCGCACGGTGGCGATCCCGCCGCCTGGCTGATTGCCCTGGCCGTGCGCGACGCGGGGGACAGAGTCGGCATCAGCAACAAGGATGCGCGGGCCGCGATCTACGCCACGATCGAGCCGATGCCCGTGGAGGAGCTCACGTTTCTAGTTCGCGGATGCCGCGTGTCGCAGTGCTGGCAGGAGAACCAGGCGAATATCACGATCGTTATCAGCGATCCCTGTGGTGCGCCGAGCAGCTCGGCGCGGATATCAAGTCTGGCCCAGCTCCGCGCGGACACCAGGAGCGCCTTCTCCAGCTGGCGCTGGATCAGCTGTCGTGACGGACCAGAGCCTCCTCGCGGCGCGGCCCGTCTCCGTGGAGGCTCCCGTGCCCCCTGTTGGGCTCAGGGGGCGCCGTGTCTGTCGCGGTGCACCGCAGTATGACGGGAGAGGACACGGCCGAGCCCGAGGCGGTGAGCGCCCGAGGAGAGAGGAACGGACCACGCTCCCCCGCGCCACGCGCGGGCGCTCGCGCGCGCGCGCGCCCGCCCCTGGCAGCCAGTTGCCGGTTCGTCCGAGGCTGGTCTGCTTGGGGCCGCGCGCGCGCCCGCGGCGCGCGGGCGACCGCACCGCGGATGGTAGAGCGAAGTCAACTCGGGGCTCCCAGGGAGGGCGCGCCATTTTCATATCGTCCGCGCGCACTGCAGGTCGTACATACCGAATCAAATCTTTGATGTATTCCAGTGCTTGACTCTCGACCCGAGGCCCGATGCAGCGACCGACCGACCTGAGGACGAGGGCGAGGACGAACATGACGCTACGATAGGATTGGAGGAGGAGGAGGAGGAGGAGGAGGAGGAGGAGGAGGAGGAGGAGGAGGAGGAGGAGGAGGGGGGGGATTGAAGGAGGAAAAGAGTGGGAAGAGGAGGAGGGAGGAGGAGGAGGAGGAGGAGGAGGAGGAGGAGAAAAGAGAGAGAAGAGAGGAGGAGGAGGAGAGAAAGAGGCGAAAGAGGAGGAGGAGGAGGAGGCGGAAAAGAAAGAGGAGGAGGAGGAGGAGGAGGTGGAGGTGGAGGAGGAGGAACAGGAACAGGAACAGGAACAGGAGGAGGAGGAGGAGGAGGAGGAGGAGGACCAGAGTAGACCCAGGATGCATCAACGATGCTGCAGTCCACCCTGCCGTCCGAAGCCCCCTCTCCCAGACGTCCCCACAGGCTTCCCTCTGCGCTGCAGGAAGCGTTCCCTTGAGAGACCAGCTGCCCAAAGCCCTAGCCTGCCAAGCAGGCGAGAACCTCAGTTAGAAAAGGAGGTCGTTGCATGACCTGCTCGCAGCGATTCGTACATAACGCGCAGCGGTATGATCATACAGCTCAACAAGGTGTCCAGCGGGATCAGTGGATAAATGGCCCCCCCCCCCCCCGCGTGAGTAGCTCTTCCACGAGTTTACATGCCTGGCCACTGGTGTCGGGGAAGTCTCAGGCGAAAGCCCACTCTCAAAAGGAGCTGCCCTCCACCCGTGCAGCTGCACAATTGGCCGAGTTCCTGGCCAGGTGTGAAGAAGGCCCCAGCGAACACCCAATTTTGAAAAGGGGCCGCCCTTCATCCGTGCAACGGTATGTCCAAGTTTCTGGTTTGTTGTGTGTTGTCGTTGCTGTGGTTGTTGCTGTTGTTGTTGTGGTTGTTGTTGTTGTTGCTGCTGCTGTTATTGTTGTTGTTGTTGGTGTTGTTGTTGTTGTTGTTGTGTTTGTTGTTGTTGCTGTTGTTGCTGCTGTTATTGTTGTTGTTGTTGTTGGTGTTGTTGTTGTGTTTGTTTGTTTGTTTGTTTGTTTGTTTGTTTGTGTGTTTGTTTGTTTGTTTGTTTGTTGTTTGTTGTTTGGTGTTTGTTGATTGTTGTTTGGTGTTTGGTGTTTGTTGTTTGTTGTTTGGTGTTTGTTGTTTGTTGTTTGTTGTTTGTTATTGTTGCTGCTGTGGTTGTTGTTTGTTGTTTGTTGTTTGTTGTTTGTTGTTTGTTGTTGTTGTTGCTGTTGATGTTGTTGTTGTTGTTGTTGTTGTGTGTGGTTTGTTGTGTGATGTTTGTTGTTTGCTGTTTGTTGTTGTTGTTGTTGTTGTTGTTGTTGTTGTTGTTTGGTGTTTGTTGTTTGTTGTTTAATGTTTGTTGTTTGTTGTTGTTGTTGTTGTGGTTGTTTGTTGTGTGTTGTTTGTTGTTCGTTGTTTGTTGTGTGTTGTTTGTTGTTGTTGAACATTATTAATTCTAACGAATAATTATTGTTGGGACCCCTGGTGCACGGCCCCCCTGCGCCGCCTAGGCCGCAGCTACATTTTCATCATTTTCGTGAGGAAGCCTCAGGTAATACGATGTCATCAAGATCCGG